TCTCCTCTCTCCTGATAACCGGGATCGTAAATCCCAGGAAGCAGAGCTCAGCGAGGCGGCGGCAGCTCCACGCTCCCAGATGGGCACCAGGGTAAGAACATTTTCCTCTGCTCCACACGGCAGAGAAAGGGGACAGGGTTTGTGCTGGACAGGTTAAATTCCGTGTTTTTATTGCCTCTGCTGTCTCTGCCTGGGATCTGTTGATGTTTACATCCTTCTGCGTCCATTCTGCTGTTTGGTATTGACTGGAGAAGCCAGCCCTGTTCTCCAGCTGGCCATGACAGAGCATTTGGAGTGTTTGCTTTTTGTAATTACAACCTGGCAACTCCCAGGGCTTCCAGGAAAGGCCGGGATTTTTGGGATTATTGGGAAGAGGCAGAGCTCGGCCTCGGCTCCATCCGTTTTACTCAGTTCCCAAAAGCTGTGGGATTGAATGGTCCATTGGTTGGTTTAATGCAAATTTCTGAGGGATTTTTTTTGGGGAGTGACGTTTCCTTGGAAGCCCCGAGCTCAATCCCATCCGTGAGGCTCTGAAGAGCCGTGCCTGGCCCTGACATTCCAATCAGGAAAGACACGGAAGGGAAATGAGTTTCCTTTGAGGCCAAACTGAATCTCTGAAGAACAAACGGGGAATAAAAGATGCCGAGATTACCTCGGATAAGCTGAGGCTTGATCTGGGCTCCGAGTCTCCGGGAGGAGACTCAAACGATGCCTTGAAGCAGGTACAGGATGTCTCGAGAGTGGGAATGGCTGGAGAACGCTCCAGCTGGGAATTTTAAAGCAGGATTGATGAAAATGGTGTTTGATAGTGGGGCTGGTGGTTCCAGCTCCTGGGGAAAGCTCACAGATCCTGGGAAAAGCACACAGATCCTGAGAACAGCACCCAGACCATGGGGAATGACACCCAGATCCTGGGAAAAGCTTCCAGCTCCCATAAAAAAACCCACTCAGCTCCTGGAAAAAGCAGCCAGATCCCGTAACTCCCAGCTCCTGGGGACAGCACAGAGATCCGGGGAATGGCACCCAGATCCTGGGAATGGCACCCAGATCCTGGGAATGGCACCCAGCTCCTGGGAATGGCACCCAGATCCTGGGAATGGCACCCAGATCCTGGGAATGGCACAGAGATCCTGGGAATGGCACCCAGCTCCTGGAAATGGTGCCCAGCTCCTGGGAATGGCACCCAGATCCTGGGAATGGCACAGAGATCCTGGGAATGGCACAGAGATCCTGGGAATGGTGGCCAGATCCTGGGAATGGCACCCAGATCCTGGGAATGGTGCCCAGATCCTGGGAATGGCACCCAGATCCTGGGAATGGCACAGAGATCCTGGGAATGGCACCCAGATCCTGGGAATGGCACAGAGATCCTGGGAATGGCACAGAGATCCTGGGAATGGCACCCAGATCCTGGGAATGGCACCCAGATCCTGGGAATGGCACCCAGCTCCTGGGAATGGCACCCAGATCCTGGGAATGGCACAGAGATCCTGGGAATGGCACAGAGATCCTGGGAATGGCACAGAGATCCTGGGAATGGCACCCAGATCCTGGGAATGGCACCCAGATCCTGGGAATGCTGCCCAGATCCCAGGAATGCCCCCCCAGCTCCTGGGGACACAGTGAGGGACCCCGGGAGTTGCTTTCCCAAGGGAGAAGCCATGACCCGGGCAGGTTTAAGCTGGAATGTTCTCTCGGCAGGTGTTTGGAGGCCCCTGAGCCCAGGAGCCCGCAGGAGGCTGGCCGAGCTCTGGGCTGTGCCTGTGGCCCTGGCAGTGTCCCTGGCCATGGCCCCGGGCTCCCAGCGCTGGCTGGCCAAGGGCAGGGCCTCGCCCAGGCTGGTGCTGCTGGTGGTGTTCGTGGCACTGCTGCTGGACAACATCCTGCTCACCGTCGTGGGTACGGGGCACCGGGGGCACCGGGGGCTCCTGGGGGGCACTGGGGG